AAGATAATGCCTCGCTATCTTCATAGCTTTCTGCAAAACATCTCCTCTGATAATGGAAAATGTCACATAATAATCCCACCATGCCTGCTGAGAACTGTTCAGAGATGGATTGAGATTGAGTACGTGGCGCATCTGGGGTATGTTTTGAGACCCTTCTTTCTGTGTGGCGGTCAGCTCGCATAAGCGGGATTAGATACACATCACATGCGAGCAACTACTTTTTGAGATGAAAATTGAGTGCATGGCGCAATCCAGTGTAGTGCCGCTAGAAAACTTTAGGACGGATTCTTATAGATCTCGACGAGCTGAGTTCAAGGCTGTTTTCAGATTTTGAAAATCTTAATTTTAAACCGATTTATAACGAAAAAACGAAAAAAACGCGAAATCGTCTTTGGCGCCAATTGGCGCCAAATGACACCAGCATCAAAAATGAATGTCATATTCGTAATCAGGGCATCGAATTACCCCAATAGGCAAAGTTTCGACGAAAAATGAAACTTTGAGATTTTGGGGCAGTAATCGTGGGATGCCCAATCCGGCAATAGGGGAAGGCTGAAAACGGTGAAAAACCAAAGTTTCAACTGGGGAAGTAATGCATATCATTCGATAGCATTTTTCACGGGGAATCTAACGGGGCACATTTCAGGTCTGCGAGTTCATCTGGAAATGCAAAAAATCTGATCTTTCCACAAGGGCATGACGAGGAGGCATTTTCACAGCCACAGCACGGCGGAAGCGCTCGTCTACAAGCAAGTATGTCATCTTTTCTACACACAAGTAAGCGTACTCTACAACAGTGAAGAGATTTCCCCGCTACCTCCTCAGATTTCGGAAAAACCTTCGCTCAAACATTGGAAAATTTCACCAAATAGGCTAGGGCATGACGAGGAGGCATGTTCATGGCCACAGCACGGAGGGAGCGGTCATCTGCAAGCAAGTGTGTGATCTTATTCCTACACACAAGTAAGCGTACTCTACAACTGTGAAGAAATTTCCCCGCTACCTCCTCAGATTTCGGAAAAACCTTCGCTCAAACATTGGAAAATTTCACCAAATAGGCTAACTGTCCTGCTGAAAAATTGATCTATGATTTCCATTTGAACACGAGAGGAGGAGATGTTGAGCGCAGTCATGTACGTGTTGAAGTCATTTAACGCGCCGCTATGGAATAGGGACCATGAAATCTGGAAAAAAAAGCAATCGATCCATTCACAATACAATGGACGATGTTGAATACGCGGCGCGTTCTGGAGGCAACTGCTGAGACCCATCTCTCTGAAGAAAGATCATGATGCATAAGCGGGATTATATGCGCACCACATTCAAACAATTTTTTCTCGAGCCAAAGCTCGAGTGCATGGCGCAATCTGAAGTAGGGCTTTCCAAAAGTTTAAAAGCACATTCTTATAGAACTCGACGAGCTGAGTTCAACGCTTTTTTCAGATTTTGAAAATCTCAATTTTGAACCGAGTTATAACGAATTCACGAAATTAACGAGGATTCGCGTTATTCGCGTGAATTTTCGATTTCAAACGGCGAGTACTGTACTTTCCGAGAGTTAGGCAATCCTTGTAGTTTTCTGGAAGCGCACCTCAGGCACAATCAAAATCTACCTCAACAAGTCAAAAAAATACGTCCCAAGAAAGTTATTCCCCTCTAAAATTTTTTCTTCGCCGCGTCCCGTTCTTCCAGCGCCCGGGTGATACCTGCCGCGCTCCAAGGCCGACGCGACGACGCGCAGACGCTTTCTGGCGCAACGGATTCATGTCTAGCACTCTTATTAACAAAAACAGGGGGTCCGAAAATCCCGAAAACGTTCGGACGTGACGGTTGACCCTGAGCGGAACACGCAACTTCTTGCTCGAGAAGCAAGACGCTACCAGCTCCATCAGCAAGCTCGGAAAGCAGGACGTCTTCGTGACGTTTGTAGCGGAGCCTATACGAGAATAAACCCCTCCGTAGCTCCTTCCAGAGGAGCGTTTCGCAGATACGGTAGCAGGGTTGCGCTCAGCGTCTTTTCAGTTGGTCTGGGTGGCCTAAACACCTTTGCTGGTGAGAACATTGCAAACTTCCATGTGGTCCTTTTCAGAGCTCAGCTTTATTTTTTCTTAAGCTGAGGAAAAAATTGGGTGAACATACTACAACTCTTAGGTTTTTTGAATACCTTTTTGGAAACCGTTGGATTCATAAAATATAAAGAGAGGAGCAAAAGGGTTGATGTACCTGAGTTATGGCGTACTTGGTTAGAGCCAATAGCCCCTCGAAGGCGAACATTGTTTTTTCTGCTGATCATAGACGTTGAAGGTTTGAATATAAGAGTTTAATAACGATAATAAGTGTCGCGAGAAAAGTGAGCAATCCGAATATTGTAGCCGCTACCGTAGAATGCATCGATGCACTCAGCTTAAATGTTTACTATCCCCTGTTTTGAAGTTTGACTTATGTATCACAAATCGACTTACTGTGAATACTTTCTCGTATTCAATATCTAGCCCTCCATTGGACTTGACAACTTGTACGTACTTCGACATAGTTGTACAAACCATACAAATGTCAACGTCACTATGAGCGAAAGTACTAGGATTTTCACGTAGTAGTGAGTCCAAAACTGAAAAAAGCTGGTTCAAGGGACTAGTCATGTCTACTTGTTTGTTTAGTATTGATTTTTTTCATGTTTTCACTGAAAGCAATGTGTTTTATGATTTTTTTATTGGCCTGGCCTTCCCAGAAGATAAAGTAGCTGATGGTAGAGAAGAAAATAAAATGAATATTGGTAAAAAAGGTTCAAAGGTGTCCCATTTGCTAGTAGTAGAAATGAAAACGGTAGCACTTGATCGCTATGTGTCACTTTGAGAATATTACGAAACATTTCAATTTTTTGTTTGTTTTTGTTCATTCACTCATTTTTGTTTTCTTATGCATCTTTCCCTCACTTCACAAACTTCTATGTGAGAATGAATGAACATTGGAAACTGTTGTCATTTCTGAAGGAGCGCTTGTGTCGACTTTCAACCATTCTATTCATAGCTGAGGGTCAGCTTATAAACCATAACGGATCAAATATTATTATACTTAAGTCTGCAGCAGAAAAAGGTGCCAGCACTAATGTAAGGCGATTGAAAGAAATCACAAAATGTAGAACAATAATCGCCATTGGACAATACGTAGCTATAGATTCATAGGGATTCAGAATCCATGTTGGTTTTCCAATTAGCTCTAGTAGTTCACCACACCAGAATCCCAAACCAACAAAGCGTTGGATGCAGTGTCAGGAAATAGATTACGCTCTGAAGCATCAATAATTAATAATCATTTTCTGAATAGTCTTGTTAAAATGGTTCATTATAAAAATTTATTCAGTGAATTTGCGTGTCATTTTCATGTTTTGCTGCCGTAGTGTTTTCTCATTCAGGAAAGGGAAGGAGCAGCGCGTCCGAAATTAGTGCAGGAGCAATGCCTAAGGTATTTCCAGCACGCATGATGTGAACGGAGGCCCGCCCACAATGGGCGGAGCGTGTCGTGAAGCGGACAGCATTTTCTACAAGAGCTCATAAATCGGCTCCGAGATGACTTAGAGACCGGAAAACAACGGATAGAGGTCAGGAGGGGAGGGGAAGCTAAATGTCAGGGATGGGCGTGGCTTACATCAAAGTGGGCGGAGTTTGCGGCGTATGAAGGGTTGGCAGAGGGAAAGGGGTCAACCGTTGTTGGCGGGCGGAGCATGCACCAAAGTGGGGCGGGGTTTGCCACGGTACTTCATAACTCGGTTCCAATAAGTTCCAGAGATGGGAGAAAAGTAGAAAAAGGTTGGGGAAGAGATGATAGCCGACTGATATCAGTGGGCGACCCACGCACCAAAGTGGGCGGGGTTTGCCACAAAGATACGTAGCTCGATTTCGTCCCCTACAAGACCTCATAATTCTGGCTCCGAGATGACTTAGAGACCTGAAAAAATACGCCAGAGGTGAAAGTAGGAGTAGAGGTTGAATGTGAACGCTGGGCGTGGCACACCCGGATGTGGGCGGAGTTTGCCACCGCTCTCATAACTCGGTTCCTAGAAGTTCCGGCGACCGGGGAAAATGTGCATAAGTATTGAGGTATGGAGTAGGGTTGAATGCCATTGTTGGGCTAAGCATGCACCAAAGTGGGCGGGGTCTGCCTCAGAAATTCGTGACTCATAACGCCATTTACAAGACCTCATAATTCGGCTCCGAGATGACTTAGAGACCTGAAAAAAATACGCCAGAGGTGAAAGTAGGAGTAGAGGTTGAATGTGAACGCTGGGCGTGGCACACCCGGATGTGGGCGGAGTTTGCGGCGTAAGTAAGATGTACCGAGCAGAAAGCTAAAATCAAGACAAAAATACTGATGGGCCCGATTTTACCGCTGAGCCCCGTCTCATGCACGCGAATGCGTGCGCAGCCAAACTGGTAATATATAACATATTGTATGATCATAGAATTTGTTGGACAGAGGTAGGTAATGAAAAATGATGCCGGTTAGGAGTCCTGGTTCCACCTAGCATAACTGTGCGCTTCATCCTTTGAAGTTGCTTGGAATAACGGTTTCATCTGTAAACATAGGTCGCTAGTTTCGCACTGCTACCTACCACAAGGCTGTTTAAAGTCCATGAAAAGGCTATACAAATGCCTTCTCTCAATTTCAAACAGAATCACAATGCATAGTGCACACAAGAAGAATTGATTATACGAATGATTTACGTCATACAACGCTTTATCCTTAACATCGAAGCTAGACTCATTAATTAAACTATCTCGTCAGAATTAGCCTCATGATAAGTTTTATACAGGGGTGGGGGAGGGGGCAATAAAAAAGACATTCTACCTACGTCGCACATCAGCGTTTTTTTTTTTCGTCGCAGAGATTGTCGTCGCTGACGGAAGTTTTTCGGCAAAATATTCCTCAAGTGCCCCTCCATTAGTAGACGCAAGCTGTCCACTGCTTGAATTGCGCTTCACCACTTCCGCAATCGTCCGAGCACTTTTTTTCATTAATATCACATATTTGAAATCTTTAGTTGCTTGCAGTGACCATTCGTTATTGCCAGGCAAAGTATGTCTACAGACAACTCTTCCTCGAGTGCTCGTGCGGTTCCTGCCGAACAAACCACTTTGATCATCATATACATAATACAAGGGATCTACGGCGGTATATCGGTCCTACTGTATATCCTCACATCAACGCACTTCTGCATCACCGCAATCCTCTCGATAAAGTATTTAGCAAATTGTACATAGCTTCTGCTCATATTCTTGTGAGTTTTTCACTCTTTTTTACGTTGAATATCAACCACAACCCATCCAAATTGAAGCACACTTTTGAATTCACATATATTTACTCTTTTCAAAGGCAAGCCCGGGGTAAAACGGGATGAAATTGGGATGAAAGCACGCTCAATGATGAAGGCGAAGTGCTGAGCAAGCTGAAAGTGAAAAAGAAAGCAAAAGAAACCACCGGTGACACAAAAATTGTGGATTTGAAGACTATGTAAGATCAGGTGTAATACGACGAAGAGATAGAGCGTCCATAGAAGAGGGAAAGCGCGAGAGAGCGCGCAGTAACGAGAGCACAGATAAATGGCGCTGCATATTGAGTAATTCACTACCACCATTCAGCCACCAATCGGAGGAGCTGATAAGACCCTGGTGCCCATGAAGACCCTGACGCCATGTTGGGCTCTTTCCAGCCGTGTCGATGGTGAATCGGTGACGTTCGCAAATAGCTCTACCTAATGGGGGGGGGGAGATTACTCCAGTAGTCCTTTCCCTGAGCTCATCTTTAGGTTGACCGTGAATTTTCCGTCATCCAATTTAGCAGAGCTGTAGTCTATTTGAGTACTTTGATGTCAATCTGAAGCCCGTCTGCCGCAATTCGAATATAACACCTACATATATGACCAAGTATTGAACTAAGAAAGGGCGAAGTGGTGTGGTGGCAAGTGACGCCGCTTACGCGATGGTGAAGGTATCAAATCCTAGATTGTGCGTCCTTGCCCAGCCGAGCCTCATAGCCTTTAAGTGGGTGATTGGCACCAGACTTCCCTAAGACAGGTCTAGGAGTACAACAACACTGATTTGTACATCGGTCAAGTGCAGAAAGTCATGGTGAATTCCTCGCCTTCAAAAGGACGAACGATTATAGGTGGTAGTGATATGCGTGGCGCATCCGAGAATGAATCTACAGCGAATGTCTTACGATTTTATTTCTTCTCACCAAATATTTTTATCAAACTTGATTTACCCGAGCAAAAAAGATTACTAATATTGCGTAAGTTTGCGAATGGTTGTAATCTTCTGACCATGAGGACAGTTTCTATCTCCCATTCTACAAAACATACAAATAAATTGACTAGAGAAATAAAGTAAGCCGTAAGCGGCTGGTACGAAGAAAC